TAGTTATAAAATAAATAAGTCATGGGGATGTAATGTATAATATAGGGAATATAGTCAGTATTCTAATAACTTTGGTGACAGATGAACTAGACTTAATGGGATCATTTCATAATGTCTAAAAATATTGACTCACTGTTATATAGATGAAAGTAATATTGTATATCAATTATGCATCAATTAAAAAATAATGAGTAAATAAACTGAAGGAAAATGGTATATTAGGACTCTATTCTGGTAACTGACAGTACTCCAACTCAAGATTAGGTAAAAGAAAATTTATTATAATGTATTTCTTGGAAGATTGAACATCAAGATGGCAGGAAGGGCAGAGATGTGGCTATACTTCTATTAACTTAGTCCTCTGACTTAAATATCATCAGGATTCTCTGACTCTAGTCTCTGCTTCTCTGTGTGCTTTGGCTTCATTCTTCTCCCAGAATGGGAAATGTGGCTGCTGACAATTCAGGAGCTTTACATCTTACAGCACCGACACTAGATAGACTGGCTTGATTCTCTCTTCCTACATCCAAAAATTGTCTGACCCTGCCTTGTGTCAAGTGCTCACTCTACCAATCAGCTGTGGCCAAGGAGACTGAGTCAGTTAGGGACACCTTCCAGGAAAATTGTATGAATGGAGGGAGGAGAAGAACATTTTTCAGGAGACAGGAATTTCTATTCCCAGAAGGGAAGCAGTGCTTAGAATGCAAACTAGTAGGTTTCTCCTATAAATGGAAACATTGGTACGCTAAATATGTCAACTAAGAGAAGGAACTCCCATTAGCTAGGTACAGTCATAGCTGCTAGTCAGATCAGTTGCTAGTCAGAATATTCCCTGACTTAAGGAAAGCAACACAAAAACACAGGAAATATGCCTTTTTTCACATGTGTGGTTGTGATGGGGCCATGCTATTCTTAAAATACATGTTTCTCTTTATTTATTCTTAGAAAATTGCATTTCTCCACTATATCATGAACAATCACTGACTTAACCAAAATAACCCATATGGTTCCTTATGAAGATAAGAGAATAAAATCTATTATGAGCAAGTAATTTGGGTATTTTCTTTTGTATTTATGTACTATCCAATTACATTAAAAATATTTCTGTTTACCTTCTACTTTTTCTATCAATTATGTTTTTCCAATGCTCTATAAGAATAAATATGAACATTTTATTCTTTTTTTCTGTAAAAGAACTTCAACTTCTTTATGATATTTGGAAATCCAATAAACTTCTAATTACATAAATTAGAAGGAAATTAATGGAAATATTGGGAAAAGTTCTTTTTGCCATTATTTGTAGATGTAAAGTTTCTTGGGATACACTGTATTAGGCATAATTTGCTATTGTATATTAGTTTATTTCATTTATGGCCCAGGATATTGTTATCTTCCTTTAGAGGCACTTCCTTTCTTTGCTGTTGGAAGACCACAGCTAGACCTGGGACACTAACTAAGCCAGGCGGCCTGGTCTAATCTGGGATTGAGATGATTGGAAGCTGTGTGTCAGTCCTCGCTTAGGTGTTATTCCATTTTATTTTATTCCTAGGGTTGTCTTTTGGTAACCCTGTCCAAAGCCTGGGGACTTATCAATGCCCCACACCCATAAAGTTGGTATGCCCCCAATTTCCATTTTTGTTCTTCATGGCCCATGAGTCATTGCAAGCTCTGCATATCTCTCAACTTCTCAGGCACATAATTTCAAAATTGGCAGATACTTTCATATATGATGCTTCTACTTGGAGCACACACTTCCTTAATCCTGGCTAACTCCTACTTCTATCCTTATGGCCTGGCCTAAATGTAACTCCTGGGAAACTTTCCTTGACTCTCATAGCAGTGCCCCTCCCTTGTGCCACCACAGTATCCTGCCTTCTCTTGTCATGAATACTGATGACATTTAAAAATAATTGCTTGTCTCCCCTTACCAGATTCAACACTTCATGATGATGGCAGGAACAGCATCTTCCTTGCTTATCCCTTTGTTTCTGGGACCTAAAACAGTGCCTGGAATATTATAAGAATGCAAATATTTGTTCATGAATTAATTGATACTTCTCTATGCTTAGGAGGCTTCTTTTTCTTTCTTTCTTTCTTTCTTTCTTTCTTTCTTTCTTTCTTTCTTTCTTTCTTTCTTTCTTTCTTTCTTTCTTTCTTGGCTTCCATTTCCTGCAGAAAAAATTCCCACTTCCTATGCATGGCATATAAGATTTTTTTTTTTTTTTGGCATATAAGGTTTTTTGTGATGTGAGTCTTGGATCTCTCACCACACCATACTCTAAATATGCTTTGCTGTTTAACATCTCTATATACATGGTGCTCTGCCCTCTGTGTCTTTTTTCCTTTTGTGGTCTGGAAAATTGATGCTATTTGTGGCTTCTCTTGTGAATTTTCTGGAAAATTCTTGCTCTTCTTTAACAGTTTAAAAGAGAAGTTTAGGGACACCTGGGTGGGTCAGGCAGTTAGGTATCTGCCTTTGGCTTGGGCTTGGGTCATGATCCCAAGTACTGGGATCAATCCCCGCATCAGACTCCCTGAACAGTGGGGAGTCTGCTTCTCCCTCTCCCTCTGATCCTCCTCCCTGCTTGTGTTCACTTTCTGTCTCAAATAAATAAATAAATAAATAAATAAATAAATAAATAATAACATCTTTTTAAAAATAAATAAAAGAGAAGTTTAAGTTTCTTCTCCTCTTCAAAGTCTTTTTGGGCTGATCCTTGCTCTTTTTCTAATACCTTTACTTTCTTCTGAATAACCTGTCTAATGTCACATAGCTAGTAAGTGGTGGAAGCAGAATTTGAACCCAGGTAATATGATTGCAGAGTCCAAACTGTACTGGCTGGACAGACAGGGAGAGACGGCAGAGGGAGAGGGAATGTGGTATGTTATCAGCAGGGGCTGAAACAGTTCCTGTGTGGCCAGGCATAGATTTGTGGATCGGAATAGTAGGAATTGAGGACTGAGGTGTCAGTTTAGGTTAAATTATTAATATCCTAGTGTTTCATGATAAAGAGCTTAGATTCTGTCCTGTAACTAATGGGTTCATTTTAGATTTAAGCATAGGAATTACAGAACTACAATTTAGCATATAGAAATAGCTCTGGCTATGTTTACACAACAGGTTGATGGCAAACAGATGATTGAGCAACTCTCTGATAGTGTTCAGATTATGGCAGGGGATGGCCTTCTGGAACAAGAATGCTGTGGTTTCCATTTTTGTCATTGCGATCTACCTTACAGCTATGGAAGAAGTTATTAGTAGCCACAGAGTATTTCCCTAACGGAAGTAATGCATGTCTGGTTATCCTGAATAGCATTTGGATTTGGTCTTTATCCTCAATCTGATATTGTATATTTATACAAAAATCTTTGTAACTGTATATATACCTTAAATTACTTTTTGTGTGATTCATTTATATTAAAATTCACAGTCTGAAATGTTTTCTCTCTGGAAATTTGGAAAATTATTTCTCTGTGTACTTACTTCCCCCAAATATACAACATATATTTTTCTAGGCTTCATAGCTCTAATTTTTAGGTACAGTGATTGAATAATTCAGTCAATAGCACTTATGGTATTTGGAAGGACTATTTAGTCAAAAGTGGTGTGTACTCAGAAACATCTCACATGTATGATATAGGACAGTAATTCATCCTTTTATATTAATTTAGCTTTTGATGTGCATTAATGTATTACGTAATTGTTTTTAGTGTCCCTTGCTGTAGTTCTGTGACATTAGGAGTACTACACAAATCTAATTTTATTATAGTCCTAGAAGTCTTAGTGTTTGATAACCCTTCCCTCTCCTCCCCCCCCAAGTGCCCCATCTATATTCTCTCTTTCCGTTTCTCTCTCCACCTTCCCATCCCTTCCTTCCTCTGTTTCTCCCTCTCTCAACGCATGTACACATGTTCATACACAAACACATTATTAGGTGAAAGGTTCTTGTTCTCCAAGTAAATAAGAATCTATCTATCTTTTTTTTTTTTTCTGAGAGAGTTGTGTGAGAGGGGAAGGGGAGGGCAAGGGAGAGGGAGAGAGAGATTCTTAAGCAGGCTCCACATGGAGCATGGAGCCTGATGCAGGACTCAATCCCATGACCTTGAGATTATGACCTGAATCAGAATCAGGAATTGGATGCTTAACTGACTGAGCCACCCAGGCATGTCTGAGTAAATAAGAATCTTAATCTTACTGAGCTTTCTGTAGCTACATACACCACTCTGGTTGTACTTCTTCCATGGCATCTCTTCCCCATTTCTTATTCAAGGTTATCCTTGAGGTTTATTATTCAATTAGATTCTTACTGTGAAAATGCTGATTATAGGTCAAGAATAAGTCCTATATTCTCATTTATTAACATTTTCTATAAGATAAAATCATTGGATCTTCATGGTGATGCTAACCAGTTCTTGTTTTTCTTTTCTGTTATGGGAAAATCAGACCTGGGAAGGACTTCAGATAACAGATTCATGAAAGTTCCTTAATCTTTCAAGACTACACTATTGGCAACTATGAAAATAGCCCATAGTGAGTGTCTGTTGCGTGCCAGGCACTATGCTCAGTATTTTGCACACATGATTGGTAATCACCACATTAATAGTAAGGTGGTTGACCACATTCTACAGATGAGAAAACAGGCTGAGAAAAAGGATTCATTAACATACCTGAGGTCACACAGCTAGTAAGTAACAAACTGAATTTAACTTCAAATTTGTCTGATTAAAGTCTATACCTCTTTCACTACATAAAATTTCTTTCAGTCAGCAATTGATATCTGAGGAGATGCATATCTATACAGGGGCAGCAAAAACTGAAAAAAGGAAGCAGCATTATTGGATTTCTATTTTCAAATATTATTTTATACTATGACAATTTGAGGCAGAATTACAGAAGGATTTGTTAGAATTCTAAATCTAATTTGTGAATTTTTCTAGTGGAAAGTTGATAGTCTTGTCTTCAATGCAGTAGTCATCAAGAATGGATTTTCTATCTCTAGTTTTAAGACGAAGTTGGCTGCAGCATTGGCAAGATGTCGAATCAAACATGATGCCCTTTCAATTTACCACATTCTTCCAGAAACAATTAGGAACCAGGAACTAAGGGCCTCCACTTTGCCACTTTATGCTTGGATAAATACTTGTAAAATCAGGTATGAGTTTTAATCAAATTCTTTATTCATATTTCAATTTACTAGCCTTTCAAAACAATGTGATAAGAAATACTACCTTTTTAATGGGTGGGGTGGGGCACAGCTAAGGGAGTGATTAAAAAATCATAGTTTAGTTCAGGATCTTATCAAATTACCAAAGGTAATTACATAAATATGTTAACTTTTCTGTCTTTAATTACCTTTTAACTTATCATTAGTTAAAATTGTTAAGTTCCATTAGATGCAATGTATATGGTATTATTTTTATTTATTTTAGGAAAAAGATGCTAGTGTTAAATACATTTTTAATATATTATTTTTATATATATTTAATATATTATTTTTAATTACACTTACAATTATTTTTAATTGCAACCTACTATTGCATATTTACAGCCCTGAAGAAGTTTATTATAGTTTGAAGAAAAAAGGTTATCATAAAGTCAAATCTGTATTACATATTGATGATAAAGTCTTTGCTGTGGACCAACATTGCCATGATGTCTTAATTTTTCCATCTCATCTTAAAAATGATCTTCTAAATATAGATCTTTTCAAAGACTATAAACTTATACTTCAGGTAAACAGACATTTACTTTCATTGTGCTTCTCAATAATCCTACTTACTCAAAGAATCCACTTAAAAATAAAACCTAACAAACTGACTATATTTTTTATAGATTATCAAGGAAATTTATAAAGGCTAATTTTCAACTATTTTATTGAATAAAATGTATACCCCTACAATCAGTGTTCCTATTGTACTTCAGCATCTTTGTCCCATGTGAAGTTATAAAGTACATGTTCTCCTTCCTGGACTCAATAGATGGGGATACTTGTATTGCTGGAACCTGAAAGGCTATATTTTTCTCCTCCAAGGGAGTATTAAAAAAAGTGCAATAGTACCTTTTCCAACTTCTATTTCTGGGGAATATGCTAATACCATCCTGAATTTGAAAATGCAATATGTAATACTTTCCCATTACTTCCTTAATATGGTCTTACAGTCTTGATTTATAAGAGGTATATAATGGCTATCAATGCAGGAAGAGGATGTGAGTTTATATGTGGTTTCAATAGAATGAAAAAGAAATGATCCAAAAAGGTTATATTAATTTTTATGTCCTTAGATTCCAATGCTTGGCTCAGATTTACCTTCGTCTTCCCCTTCACACACTCATCTTGGGTGGAATCTCTTGGCCTTATCTTAAAGTGATACAAACCCTACAGAGCACTGAGATCAACTGCAGAAACCCATAGGTCTAGCCCCTTTTTATAAGCTTGTCAATCATCTTATTTTTAATATCTGTGAATCAGCAGTGATTTAAATGACAGTGGAATGGGGAAGAAAGAATGGTATCAGCTGATGAGTGAGTTTTCATGAAGAGGTAAGAATCGGTGCTATAGTAGGACATCACTAATCTATTAAACACATTTTGGGGATTTTGACATTATCATCATTATATAAAAGCTAAATGATAACATTTATAATTTAGGCTAAACAATGTTAAGGTCTTTGTTTTAAAATTCTTTATATCAGTTATTTTTGTTAACTTTGTCTTCTAACATATATTAAGATGTTTTAAACTCAAATAGATTAGGTATCTCAAGAGTCCTACTAAGTACTTTTTTTTAACTTAAGCAAAAAGAAAGTTAGTTCATGCTTCTAGTCAAACCATTTGAAATTCTAATTGTATCATTATCTTGTAGGACAAATCTCGAAGTCTCGCTGTCCATTCTGTAAGGGCTTTATTAAATATGGATGATGATATCTTAATGGTCAATACAGGTTCATGGTACACAGTTGCCCATATGTCAGTCTTAACAAATAATAATACCTCAAAAATATTTGTGTGTGGAGTAAAGTCACAAACTAAGGATCCTGACCTGAAGAATCTTTTTACAAAAATGGGATGTAAAAGTATGTATAAATATTTATTTGTTTGGTGATTAATGTTCTACAAAATTTAGAAATATCAAAAATGTTTGAATTTGTTTTTTGTAATATAAAAACTCTACATTTTATACTCTTAAAAATTTTCACTAATTCATATTACACCAGGGTCTTCTCATTGTTTAATATTGGTTAAACAACTGTAGTTTAAATTAATGAATATATTGGCACTTTGGGATATTGCTTGGCATTAGCTACCATATAATTTGAAGTTCAAACAATAATTAGCTAAAGTAGGTGGTAGAAATTATCATCCTTTAATAAATAACATAACCAAAGGAGTGCTTGACAATGTTAATATCTAGGACTAGAAGTTACCATCCTTTAGGCTTATTTTCAAAATCTTTTCCATTGGATCATGCTGTGACTAAAGATAACATTTTATTATAGGTTCAGTGAGGCTGAAAAACCAAGCAAAACTTTTGACAGATTCACATGGATAAGGAGACAAAAATAGAATTTAAAGCTTGACTTGGAGAGGTAGACTAGTAAATACCTAGAATTTCATATGGAGACAGAAGAAGTATATGCTGGATAGTGATCAGTTGTCTAACAAATTGAAGCCCAAGTTCTAGTCATCTCATTCCCAATTGGATTAAGGTGATCTGGGATTATTAATGCCCAGATTTAGCTGCCTATCAGAAGCAAAAGTAAATTTTCTCTGGAAGAAAATAACATCATCCTAGGTCTCATATCATCTCCTAAATTTTTTCAAATATAATGTTTGGCACTCAGTTTAGAAAACAAAAACAAAAAAAAAAAACAAGGTAGAAAAGAAAAGATATGACTGATATAAAGAGAAAAACACTGCAATAGGAACAAACCCATAGGTGGTTCTGATACTAGAGATATCAGATGTGGACTTTAAAATAACTATGATTAGTATGCTGAAGAGATTAAACGCCAAGTGGTAGAATTTCAGCAGAGAACTGGAAACAATTTTTTTTTTAAGTAAAAAGAAAATTCTAGAACTAAAAAATACAACATGTGAAAATAAGAGGTCAATAAATTTAACAGTAGATTAGAGCAAAGAATAAATGAACTAAAAAAAAAAAAGACTAAATGAACTGACAAGCCACAAGAAAATATCCAGACTGAAGCAAGGGAAGACAAAGGATTAATAATATGGAAAAGATCATAAAACACACATGAGACTCAGTGATCCAGTGATCTTCCATATGCTGTGATTGAGAACACAGAAAGAGAGGAGAAAAATAATTGAGAAGAAACAATATTTGAAATTAAGGCTGGGAATTTTTCAAAATAGATAAAATAAATTAAGCCACAGATTCAAGAAGCTCTATGAACTGTTCAGTAAGAAAAAATATATAGAAAACATATTAGGTATATTGTGGCATAACTACTGAAAACCAAAAACCAAGCAGCCGAGGTGATAATATATATTACTTTTAATGGAAAAGCAATAAACTAAAAACTAACTTCTCAACAGAAATAACCCAAACCAGAAAACTATTAATATCTTCATAGTGCAGAAAGAAACTACCAAGTACATTTCTAAACTCAGCAGAAATTTCCTCTGAAATAAAGATATTCTCAAACAAATGAAATCTGAGACCTTGTCACCAGCAGACGCAGTGGAGGATATACTAAAGGTTATTTCTTGAGTAGAAGGAATATTATCTCATATAGAAAGTTGTAGATGCTGGAATAAATGAAGAATAATGGAAAAGATAAGTACACAGGCAAACCAATTATAATCTAATGTCTTGTGGGATTATAAACTAATGTCTTATGGGGTTAAAATATGTGTGTTATATTAAAGTAAATTACAACAATGATACATAATTTAGAGAGAAGGAAATAGAATTAATGTGTTGTTATCATCTTTGCTTTGTCCAATAAATGGTAAAAATAGTAAATTATTAAGTCAGTGGTGTGTGTTATATCCAGGGCAATGAATAAACAAATAATAAAAGGATGTTTAATAGCTAGGAGGGAGTAAAATGGAATATGGAGTTAGAATACCCGATTAACATAGAAAGGATAAGACAAATAGCAAATAGGTAGATTAAACTTTAAAAAATATATATGTAAGCACATTAAGTATGCATGACTAATACTTGAAATAAGACAAAGAATACCAGTATTAAAATTTTAAGATCAACAGTATGCTTATTTAAAAGAGAAATTCTTTACATAAAAGGATATTAAAAAATTAGGACAGAAAAAGATTTACATTACATATATTACTACAAGAGCTATTAACAAGGTAGATTTAAGTTAAGAAACATTACTAGAAATATAATTATAACATTTTCATTAGGAAAATGAAACAGTACGAAAGAAGTATATACTTAATAACATAATATTAAATATAACTAAACTGTAGATTTCACATATGATTTTTGCAAGGTTTCTAGATATAAGATTAGCATACAAATTCAGTTTCTGCATATCATTAACTAAAGCTTGAAAATGAAGCAGATACCTTTTACAATAGTACCAAAAACTATAACACATTTAGGAGTACATCTAATAAAATATGTGTAAGACTTCCTCATAAAACTATGGACCATTATTGAAAGACGGAAGACCTAAGTAAATATAATAATAGATCATATTCATGAACTGAAAAAACTTAATGTCATCAAGATGACCTTTCTCTCCAAGTTGATCTGTATGGATTCAGTTCAGTCCACATGATACTGCAGAGTACTGAGGAGATGTTTTCTTTTTCAGTAAATGGTTCTAGAAAAAATGAAACTGATCTGCGCTTCATACCAATACAAATCTATAATCTCCTAGAATTTATAAGGGAAACACTTAATGACTAGGATTGGTAAAGATTTCTTAAACAGGACACACAAAGCACTAACCATAAAAGAAAAGATCGATAAATTGGAATACAATAAACTTTTTAAAAATTTAAAACTTCTATACATTAAGAGAGTGCAAAGGCAAACTGTAGAGAGGGAGCATATAAACTGAGGAAGAAAAAAAATAAACCGAGGAAGAGTTTTACATACATGTATATAAAGAATTCTTACAAATTAACAATAAAAAGATAGACAACCCAGTTGGAAAATGTGCAAAAGACAAGACCAGTCATTTCACAAAAGAGGATATCCAGATGCAAAAAAAAACTTAGGTAAAAGTAGTCAATCCCATTATTAATCAGGGAAATGCAGTTAAAATCACCACATATCCACAGAATGATTAAAATTTAAAAGGTTTGGAGGGGTGCCTGGGTGGTTCAGTTGGTTAAGCATCTGACTCTTGATCTCAGCTCAGGTCATGATCTCAGTGTTGTGAGTTCAAGCCCCATGTTGGGCTCCACACTGGGCATGGAGCCTACTTAAAAAAAAAAAAAAAAAGATTACAGTACCATGTACTGGCCAGGTAAGGAACATTGGGAATGCTCAAAGATAGCTGGTGGGACTGTAAACTTGTACAGCCACTCTAGAAAACTAGCATTAATCACCAAACATGAAATATGTATAGACCCTATAACCCACCACTTCACTTCCAATTACCCATCTGAATTTTTCCCTAGTTAACAAGAAAGAATAGGAACCACTAGGTAATCACAGAGTTGAGGAAAGGAAGTTTTTCCTTTTAGAAGTATTCCAACTAATAAATGAAAAAGAGATGATAGGATTAAAATAGGTCTATTTTGCAACCCCTTTGCTGGTGCCAGAAAGGCAACTTACTGGATGAGTATGATGTGACTTGTGAAGTAGGTTTTTTTGGTCCTCTCTCTACCCTCTTCAGTCTCCTCTCAAAAAAAAAAAAAAAAAAAAAAAAAAAGAAAAAGAGCCTGAATCTAATTAAGCTTTTTAAAGATCCAACTACTAAGTTATAGGAAGCACAGAGGATAGGAACATGTTAAAGTACACTCTAGGGAATCAATTAGCAAAATCCAGACTGTGGAAAACTCTTAGCAGTACAAATAACCATGTTTCATTAGGAAATAAGTTATAAGGAAAAATGCAAAGGGAACCTTAGAAGAAATTTAAAATAAGGCTTGTCAGCTAATTGTAGTGTATGTACCTTATTAATATCTGGATTCACATTAAAAATTTTTGACATGTGTGAGACTATTGGGAGATTTGAGCCATAATTGGATGCTATTACTATTCAATGATAATAAATTATTTCTAAAAATTTGTATGGCTATATTTTTAAAGGAGTTCTTATCTTTTAGAGATATGAAATATTTGTAGATTCAAAATAACATGGGTGGGGTGGAAGTGGGTACAGATATAGATGAAACAGAATTGGGCATGAATGGTTCACTGTTGAATCTCCATGATGGGTGCTTGAGAATTTATTATATTTTTATGTCTGTTTTTGTACATGTTTGAATTTTTCTGATAGAAAGTTAAAAATAGAGGGGATAAAAGGAAAACCCACTGATTAAAAAGAAAAACAACAATTTCAAAATAGAATAGGAAGATGAACAAGGTGATCAGACAAGAGAGAATGGGTGGGCAAGCAATTTCAGGGGTGACTCCTCAGCAGGTGAGGGGAATGGGAGCCACTGCAGAAGTGGAGGGGTGGCCTAAAGACAGGGGCACAGATCATTGTACTCTGAGACTGACAGACTTAAACTAAATTACAAAGTCCTTAAGGGACCTTAGACTGCCTCATAAATGCTACTGACACCCATTTTTCTCTGGGGAAGATAAAATATAAAAGGGGATTACAAATGGGAAAGGGAAATAACCTAATACTGAGCGTTTACTATGTACTAGGCACCATACTAAACTGCTTTATCTCAGTCTTCACCACAATTAGATGAAGTAGGCATTATTATCGCATTTTATGAGTAAGGAAGTGGAGGCTCAGAGAGATCAAGTCACACAGCCAGTAAACAGTAGGAGGTTGGGAGTCACAGTTGGGTATTTCTGCCTTCAAAGCTCATTTCCCTCCACTACATCACAGTGTTCTGATGGAATCTGAAGTTCAGAATAAAAAATAGAATTATATTTTATGTAGAAGATATTTAAATTTCAAAATTATTCTCTCAAGTGAAGGAGAAAAATTCATGTAGTATAGGAAGTTATCAGAGAAGAATAGTCCTCTTTTTTTACTATATTAGGATGACTCTTTGTGAGGTTGAGGATTTAAAAATGAACAATGATAAATCAATCTAATTACATACTGTATTAAGATTTTAAATTAATACTTTTGCATTAATTTTTCTGTTTTTTCTCCAAGATATTGAAATACTTCATGAGACATTTCTTAACATTGAATCAAAGGATCATAGATTACAGAAAGTTAAAGTGATTCTGTTGCTACCTCGTTGTTCAGGACTGGGTGTTAGTAATCCAGTAGAATTTATACTAAATGAGCATGAAGGTACTTTATAAATTTTTAATTTATAAATTCCTGAAATTTTTTGATAATTTCAGAAATAAAATTGTTTAAAATCATTAAAATGACATGTCAAATATATCTGATTAATGAGTAGCTACCATGTATGTACAATGTGTAAAGTACTTTATGCCGGGTCACCTGAGTGGCTCAATTAAGTGTCTGATTCTTGACTTTGGCTCAGGTCAGGATCTCAGGGTCCTGAGACTGAGCCCCAACCTGGGCTCTGTGCTTAGCATGGAGTCTGCTTCTCTCCTTCTCTCCCTCCCTCTGTTTCTCCTTACACTTGCACACACATACTCTCTCTCTCTCAAATAAATAAATACATACATAAACTTTTTTTTTTAAGATTTCGTTTATTTATTTGAGAGAGAGAGCGAGAGAGATAGCGAGAGGGAGCACGAGCAGATGGGAGAGTGAGAGCAGTCTCCCCCCTGAGCAGAGAGCCCAATGCAGAGCATGATCCCAGGACCTGGGGATCATGACCTGAGCTGAAGGGAGATGCTCAACCGATTGAGCCACACAGGCACCCCAATACATAAACTCTTAAAAAAATTAAGTACTTTACATTCATTGTCTCATTTAGTCCTTATAGCAATCCTTTATGATATGCACAGGGGAATATTAAAAATATTTAATAATTGGAATGATGTAGGTGATCAGATGTTGGTTGTTATGCTATTCTGGTATATACTTGAACTCAAGATATAGGCATTAACATTTATCAGCATCTTATGAGGAAAAAACTGAGACTCAGAAAGATTAATTCAATTTTACAAGGTCACACAGGTTCTAGTTAGTAACAGAGCTAGAATTCAGGTTTAGATCAGCCAGACTGAGGGGCTCCTGGGTGGCTCAGTGGTTGAGCATCTGCCTTCAGCTCAGGGTGTGATCCTGGGGTCCTGGGATAGAGTCCCACATTGGTCTCCCCACGGGGAGCCTGCTTCTCCCTCTGCCTATGTCTCTGTCTCTCTCTGTCTCTCATGAATAAATGAAGTCTTAAAAAAATAATACATCAGCCAGACTCTACAGACTGTGCTCTAAAATTAAATTATTATCACATTATTTCAAACTCAAGATTTCTTTAACCTCCAGTATGTATATTTTATGATATGAATGCCTCAGATTAAATATTAATACTAGGAATATTTCATTTCCTTCTTTAATAAATCATAAAATATTATTTAACATTACCATTTATTGAGCACATATTTATAAGGCAGTGAGCTAAGCACTTTGCTTCAATTATTTCATCAAAACCACAAAAACTCAATGAATTTTTTACAGTCTCCCCCCTTATCTATGGGGATTTGTTCTAAGACCTCCAGTGGATGCTTGAAACCATGGGTAATACTGAACCCTACATCTACTATGTTTTCCCCTATACCTATGCACCTATGATAAAGTTCAGTGTATAAGAGATTAATAACAACAAATCATAAATTAGAGCAATTATAACAGTATTTTGAAATAAAGTTATGTGAATGTGGTTTCTCTTTCAAAATATCTTATTACACTGTACTCACCTTTCTTACAATGTGAGATGACAAAATGTCTACAAGATGAGATGAAGTGAGGTGAGTGAGGTAGGCACGGTGGTGATGTAGCATTAGGTGACTATTGACCTTCCACCGATTTGGCAGAAGGAGGATCATCTGCTTCCGTGACCTTCAGTAACTGAACTACAGAAAGCAAAACTGCAGATGCTGAACTCCTTTTTTCTACATTTTATGAGTACAGGATCTGAGGCTCAGAGGGGTTGAAGCTCCCCAGAGCCATTTGACTAGTGTCAGAGCCCAGATTAAAACACAGCAGCTCTGATTCTGAGGCTGACACTGTGAGCCCCTTTTTAAATGCTGTGCATTAACTGAAACGTGCATTAACTGAAATGGATCCTTACTCTAATCTGTTCATATTGAAAGCTCTAATTAAATAAGATTAACTGAAATATTAGATAAAGAAGACATTTCACCAACATTCAGCATATAGTGAGTACCAATTTTCTGTTTCTAGCAAGGACAGAATAAAAAATGAGAAAAAGAAATGCAGGGAGAGAAGGAAACTAATATTTATTGCACACAACCATGTGCCAGCCAATATTCTAGGTGGTATGTGTGCACTGTCACTTAATAGTCACAATAACATTTTGAGGGTAGTGTCCTTTTATTATCTCTATTTGGGGAGGGAGGGAACAAGACTAAGAGAAATCTCACAAGCTACCTAAGGTGTAGCTAGTAAATAGAGAGACTGGGATTCAAATTCAGATTAGTTAGCACATTCCACTATACTACAAAATGTGTAACTGGGCTTACACTGTTCCACGTGAAATTTTGACCTGCTATAGAAAATGTCTTCCCAGTGGTAGTAAAACAGAAGCATAACCAACTCAGATGGGAGAATAGTGAGCTGAGAAACTTCCTACATTGACTGGGAAATAAATAAGAATTAGTAGACAATGGGAAAAAGAGGGGGAAGAAATAGCTGCCGCCATAATAAACATTGCAGTCAAGAGAATTAGACCTTCCAACTGAGAGACTCTGGCCTTACTCTGGGCCATCTTGAAGTGGGAATGCAGAAAAAAACAAACCATAGGTAAAAATAAAGTAGAGCCTGTTGGGGGTGGGGTGGGGTGGGATGGAAAGCCCAAAGGGAACCACAAGTTATGAAAAGGGAGAAAGTAAAAAATTTCCTAGGTATTAGCAACGTTCTGAAAACTTTGATCAAGAGGCAACAGGATAAGCCAAGAAGCAGGCTTTGGGAAACCTAGGGGAAAAAAAGGAAGGTTTCCTCTGAGGAGGTAATAGCCAGAGCAAAGAAGGAGCTGCTGACCTAGTGTCTATGGTAGAAATAGTACCAAGCTTAGTGGGGATAAATCCAAAAGACTTAGATACTAGGTGGAAGGGAGAAATCATGAGTTAGTTTGAAAAACATTTTAACATGGAAAAATATTAGAATCATTGAGGAATATATGAAATTGTTCTTTGCTAACAACTTGGAATTATTTTAAAATGGAGTGAAAGAGGTAAATTGATACAGTTTTATAGTATAATATGTAAATGGTCCTTTAAAAAACTGGTGAATAGAGGGGCACCTGGGTGGCTCAGTCCGTTGAGCATCTGCCTTCGGCACAGGTCATCTCAGGGTCCTGCATCAGGGGCTCCCTCCTCAATGGGGAGCCTGCTTCTCCTTCTCCCTCTGTCACTCCCCCTACTTGTTCTGTCTCTGTCAAATAAATAAAATCTTAAGAAAAAAATGTTTTTAAGTGTTGAATAGAGATAGAAAAATGTGAAGTATAAAATTAAATTGGGAAGAAATAGAATTAAATTAACCCTTAGCGATATTACTGGAATGGAGAAGAGCCACTATATGGCATAAATAATTGGCTCTCGTACTTCAGTTACTGAGGTGCGAAATAAACAGAAGTTAGGAGTTTGGACACTCTGGTCAGATTTCTGAGCTAGAAGCATGGTTCTATACCTCGTAGCTATGTGACCTTAGATAAGTAGTCTAATGTATGTTTGGAGTTTTCTTAATGTTAAAGGGGGTGATGGGGCACCTGGGTGGCTCAGTGAGTTAAGCAGCTACCTTTGGCTTGGGTCATGATCTCAGGGTCCTGAGATGGAGCCCTTGTAGGGCTTCCTACTCAGTAGGGAGTTGGCTTTTCCCTCTCCTTCTGCCACTCTCCCCTCACTACCCCCACTCTTGCTTGTGCCTGCTCTCACTCACTCACTCTCTCTCTCTCTCTCAAATAAATGAAAAGTCTTTAAGGGCGATTGATAAATAATGTATATAAAGTGGTACAAATTATTCTTAATATCAAAATATCAAAAAACATGTTAAAATTAGTTTTAAAATTTTTTAAAAGTTACTTTAAGAGTTTCTTGATCTGTTTCTTAATCTATGAAGACATACATTTACCTTCCTGAATTTTTTTCTTCCAAGATTGCTTTCAGTAAGTTAATGTTTTTAACCATGTCTTTTTGTATTCTTTCCTCCTCAGACGTGACTGTAGTAGCTCATCAGTTTCTGCCTTGGAAATAAATCTCTTCTTTCTTTTCATCTATTAGACTCCAGATTTACTGCATTCTCTCTTCTGTATCTAAATGACGTAGTTGGATGACTATTGCATAAGAACTTGGAGAAGAAAGAATATTAAAACTAAATGAAATTATCTTTATTTAGTTTTTAAATTTTAACAGCATTTTTATAATACTATTTATTTAGTTTTAATAAATATTTTCCATGAAATTCTCATTAATAAGGAAAATGATTGAAAAATTAAACTATGTGATTATAGCAACATATGAAATACACCCAATAGTGATATATTTAAAAGGATTTATTTGCTTTTAGATACAGGTTTACTTAAAGATTTCTCTCAAGGAGGCACATCAGAAGATAAACTTCACATTCTTGCTCAACAGCAATATGAACAGCTAACACATGCAATGAAATGTAAGTTTATTAATCAGTGCAATCTTAAAATATGTTGTAAATCTTAGAAACATTAATACTTCATTTATCTATTATAATCAGGCTAATGAGTTGTGACTATAAGTGAATTTTCCAAAATAGTCTTAGTGCCTTCCAATATCAAAATATTTATTTTTACCACTTCAGTCTGTCTTAAAAATAGATGCTGTGCTATCATTTGTAGCATGGGTTAGCAAGCATAATGAACAGTTTCCTAATGCTGAAGTAAAAAAATTACGTACATCTATTATGGAACCGTTTTGTTTATTTCTTTCCTTTGGGTTTTTACCTGATGTAATTTTTCTGTTGTCATTGTGCCTGCCCATAATAACTATTCTACAATTAAAATTTTAATCAAATTCTTATGTCTCTTAGTACTAAATAGAGAATAGAGAAAAGCAATTACAAATATAGCCTAGATTTCTTTATTTTAACCCTGAGTAACTAAGCTCTTTAGGTATTTGTGGTATTGTTTCAATCACTCCATTTAGATTTTGTTTTTTTGTTTTTGTTTTTTTCTTTTTCCATTTAGATTTTGAGGAGCACTGCCCTCAAATGGATATGGATATGAAAAAGTGAGAAATCTCTGAGAAATTACATAAACTATTATTAATTCAGTGCATTGTTTATCAAGTGCATACTCTGGGTCAGGCTGGATTTAGGGATATGAGTGTGAATAAATCCTGATCTACAGAGGCTCAAAGATAAATATATAGTTATAGATAATTCATTACATAAAGTTAGAACATAAATGAGGTAGAAATAAGGCAAATGGAAAGTACAGAGCCAGTCTGTTGATGCTACTCATAAATATTAATTTGGACACATATATATATGAGTTCATATATATATGATCTATGAAATAAATGGTTGGAAGATTAGAAAGTTGGTAAAGAATTTTTTGATGCTCTCTCAGATCACATTATTTAAAATTACAATATCATCTGAAACTATCTCCATCACTGCTTTTTCTCTATAGCACTTATCACCTCCTAAAGATATGATATGATTTAACTATTTGTGTCTTATCATGTTAATAAAACGTGGAAAACAAGCTTCCCAGGGGCAAGGATTTTTGTCTGTATATCTTGGATGCCTAGAATAGTGCTTAGCTCGTAGTAGGTGCTTGATATGTGTGAATAAATGAGTGCAGATAGTAGTAGTATCTCATTTTACAGAAGAAAAGGGATCCCTGGGTGGCTAAGCGGTTTGGCGCCTGCCTTTGGCCCAGGGCGTGATCCTGGAGTCCCAGGATCGAGTCCCACGTCGGGCTCCCGGCATGGAGCCTGCTTCTCCCTCTGCCTGCGTCTCTGCCTCTCTATGTCTATCATGAATAAATAAATAAATCTTAAAAAAAAAAGAAATCTTGCATTTCTATCCACCAATAATGAAGCAGCAGAAAGAGAAATCAAGGAATTGATCCCATGTGCAATTGCACCAAAACTGTAAGATACATAGGAATAAAGCTAACTAAAGAGGTAAAAGATCTATACTTTGAACAGTATAAAACACTGGTGAAAGAAATTGAAAATGACACAAAGAAAAGGAAAAACACTCCATGCTCATGGTTTGGGAGAACAAATACTGTTAAGATAAGCAATCTACACGTTTAATGCAATCCCTATCAAAATACCATCAGCATTTTTCACAGAATTAGAACAAACAATCCTAAAATTTGTAGAAAACCACAAAAGACTGAATAGCCAAAGCAATCTTAAAAAAAGCAAAGCCGGAGGCATCACAATTCTGGACTTCAAGTTATAAAGCTGTAATGGTCGAGACAGTATGGTACTGGCACAAAAACAGACACATAGACCCATGAAACAGAACAGAAAACCCAGAAATAAACCCACAACTAATCTTCAACAAAGAAAAAGCATATCCAGTAGGAAAAGTCTCTTCAACAAATGGTGTTGGGAAAACTGGACAGCAACATACAAAAGAATGAAACTGGACCACTTACTTACACCATACACAAAAATAAGTTCAAAATGGATTAAAGACCTAAATGTGAGACAAGAACCCATCAAAATCCTAGAGGGAAACACAGGCAGCAACCTCTTTGACCTCAGCTACAGCAACTTCTTGCTAGACATGTCTTCAAAGGCAAGGGAAACAAAAGCAAAAATGAACTATTGAGACTTCATCAAGATAAAAAGCTTTTGCACAGCAAAGGAAACAGTCAACCAAACTAAAAGGCAAGCTCCAGAGTGGGAGAAGATATTTGCAAATAATATATCCAATAAAGGTTTAGTAACCACAATTTATAAAGAACTTATCAAAGTCAACACCCAAAACCAAATAATCCAGTTAAGAAGGCAGAAGACTTGAATAGACATTTTTCCAAAGAAGACATCCAGATGGTTAACAGGCACTTGAAAAGATGCTCAACATTATTCATCAATAGAGAAATACAAATCAAAACAACAATGAGATACCACCTCACACCAGTCAGAATGGCTACACAGGAAACAGTAGGTGTTGGTGAGGATGTGGAGAAAGGGGAACCCTCTTAATGCTGGTGGTGGGAATGCAAACTGGTATGTAGTATGGAGGTTCCTCAAAAAGTTAAAAATAGAACTACCCTATGATCCAGTAATTGCACTACTAGGTATTTACCCAAAGGATACAAAAATACTGATCCCAAGGGATACATGCACCCTGGTGTTTATAGCAGCATTATCAACAAAAGCCAAATTATGGAAAGAGCCCATATGTCCATCGACTGATGAGTGGATAAAGAAGGGGTGGTATATATATACACACACACACACACACACACACACACACACACACACACACACACAATGGAATGTAGGCAGCCATGAAAAGGAATGAAATACTGCCATTTGCAACAATGTGAATGGAACTAGAGAGTAAATGAAGTCAGAGAAAGACAAATACCATATGATTCTACTCATATGTGGAATTTAAGAAACAAAACAGATGAACATAAGGTGAAAAAGAGAGAGGCAAACCGGAAAGCAGACTCTTAACTATAGAGAACAAACTGGAAGGGAGGTGGATGGGGGATGGGTTAAATGGATAATGAGTAATTAAGGAGTGTACTTGTTGGGATGAGCACTGGGTGTTGTATGCAAGTGATGAATCACTAAATTCTACACCTGAAACTTTTTTTTTAATTTTTATTTATTATTATTTATGATAGTCACAGAGAAAGAGAGAGAGAGGCAGAGACATAGGCAGAGGGAGAAGTAGGCTCCATGCACCGGGAGCCCGACGTGGGATTCGATCCCGGGTCTCCAGGATCGCGCCCTGGGCCAAAGGCAGGCGCCAGACTGCTGCGCCACCCAGGGATCCCTACACCTGAAACTTTTAATATTATACTGTATGTTAACTAACTGGGATTTATTTATTTTTTCTAACTGGGATTTAAATAAAAACTTAAAAAAAAAGAATTTTCAATTTCTATACAATCCAGTTAGATTCACTTTACTTATTGGCCACAGATTTACATTACTAATATGTGCTATAAAGGGAAATCATGCAAACATTTATGGAAATCATTCCTTTCACAACCATGTGGTAGTAGTATCAAATAGATGTTTGGAAATATAAATCTGTTTAGGATTGTTAATAGGATCATTATTATTAATTACACCTTCTTTATAGTTACTAAAGCTCAAGCAGTCGTTTATTGCACATGTTCAGTTTATCCAGAAGAAAATGAAGCTGTTGTTAAAAAAGCACTGGAATTTCAGGACCTGGGGAATAAAGTACAGCCTTATAGGTAAGAAAGGAAAGGATCGTTTTGAATTCAAGTATTTCTGAGAGTGAATGATTATGATTCTCTAAGTTATGTGAAGACATTCCACATCCTTTTCGTTATACTTTAACATGACCAAATAAGCTAACTTCTTACAACTATAATGTAGATTCTGTAGAGCCTTTACAATGGCTTGGCATGAGCATTCTCTTGTACTACTAAAAATTCTTTTTTGTTGTTAGTAAAGCTAAAGGCATTTTCACTTTGAATTGATTGGTTTTTGGATTAAATTGGGTCTAAATATTTATATCCTGAGTTTTATATACATGTATGCCTCAGTACAAGAAAAATAAGTATATAAAAAAACCTTAGGAAGGAGATAGAAAATTATTTAATTGGATGTTTATTATCTGAAAACACATTTCTTAGCCCCCTGTAGCCTTTGTCCTTCACAAAGACTGAGGTAAAAATGGCCTAAATAATTCAAGTAGATTCTGGGTTAAATGCTACAGGGAAGTAGGGGTAGAGGGGAAGAGCACTATTCCATCTGAACTGTGGACATCAAAATAAAGAGTAGATCTAAAAATACATGGCACCAATTAGTTCTTCAAGACTGTATGATACGTATTTTAAAACATCTCTTCTATTTTTTACTTGTCATGTTCTGAACTTTCCCTTTAATTCTTATAGAAGGTTCTTAACATGCATATGGTTTGCTCCTTCCTTTTAACTTGATATTTTTTCCTTTGCTGTTCACAAGTGGATATGTTAATTATGCTTGTTTGTATTTTCCTTCTTACTGAACTTTACTTCCTTACCTGGTAGTAGCTCCTATTGGTGGCTAAGGGCCAACCTCATATTCTGATAGCTTCCCAACACTGCATTAGCTAAATCACCATCTAGTGGCAAAGAGAATTATTGCGGGTATAACCAAATTCGTAATGTGAACGATTTTGTCTGTCAGGGATGTTTTCTAAGACTATACTATGGCAAAAATGGAGAAACATCTGCATTTTATTTCATTAGATTTTATTTCAGGTAAGCCATGATGAATTATTAATCCATGATATGGTATAAAAGACACAGGTAATATTTAAAGACATGAAGATAGAATAATGTGGGATTTGGGCTAAAATTGGAGAGTAAATGTATATTCAAGAAATTTACTTGCTAAGGATGCTGTTGAAAAAGCTTATGAATTGCTTAAGGAAGTATACTGTATGGCTTTTGAGAATCCAGTATTATATGCCATTGAATCTAATCACCTGTTGTTTAAATTTCCTTTTAATATTCCAAAAATAGCTCATTTTTGGACTTTAGCTATCATGATACTTGCCTTAGGCTTATGCTACTTCCCCTGCCTCATTCTCTACTGTAAAAACTTCAAACATTACAGAAATACCAACTTTAAAAAGAATGAATTTTTCTAAATTCCCTTCTCTTAAAAATAATCATGTTAGCAGTTTGATGTGTAATCTTTCAGGTTTTCAGGAACCAAAGGTTGTGGACATTTTAAATTGTAATTGGTTTTCTCAAATTACTCACCAAAATATACACTCTTATTAATCTATTTCTCCACAGCTTCACCAATGCTGTGTTTTATCAGACTTAAATCTTTACCAATCTAATTAATTTCCATTTCTCCGTGAATGAGGGTTGGGCACTTTTGCAGTTACTGACTGGGCAGTGTAGTGTTGAAGGTTTCAGAGCTGTAGTCTTCAAACATTTTTGTTCAAATACTCCCTACCATTTTTTAAATAACTGTGATCTTTTTCCGTTTTAAAGTTGACATCTAATATTTTTCATCATAAATTTAAATAATTGCAGAATATTTCTGGAATATTATATTACATGGGATTTAAGTATATTTCTGTTAAATCTTTGGAGCTGCACATTTATCTTACTTAATTTGTGGAAAAATATTTCATCTGTTACCTGTTTTACAAAACTAGTTCTCATTGCTAAAACCAAATTAACCTCATCAGGAAAAGTCTGACTTTATTAATTTAAATAAACATGTTAATATGCCTGTGTGATTTATTTCTAATTATAATTCAAAGATAGAAATAAGGAAGGAGAGAGAAGGGGAGGGAAGGAGAGGGAGGCCAGGAAGGGAGTGAGAAGGGGAGGGGGGCAGGAAGCAAGAAGTTAGTTCAAGAACAGAGCTTTGGTAAGAGTTTGGCACCCTCTTCAAGATTTCTTACCTAAACTCTGTTTTGCCATGGGAGAGGAAATCCAGTCTTGAGTTGTCTTTTTGTTAGCCCCCTAGAGATTTTAACATCCTGGCACAGTGCACTAAGATGAGATAGGTGCCTATTTTTGTTGTGTGAGAAAGGTGTTGTGAAAGGAGAAGGAGAAGTAGCTGTAACATGGGTTACCATATTATCTACCTTAATGGATCATTATGGAGATTGAATATATTAATATATTGATACATAAATGTTCATTGTTATGGTTATTGCTATTAATTTGTTGTTGTCTGCTTGTGTTCTTTACTATTTTTTCAAGTGTATTATTCATCTTTTTCTTTTTATATGTTTTATTGTATTTTACATATATTAACTTTTTTCATATAAATTACAAATAGTTTTTAGATTATCTCTTAAATATTTAAAAAATTTTAATTCCAGTATAGTAAACATACAATGCTATATTCATTTCAGATATATGATAGAGTGATTGAACAATTCTATACCTTACTCAGTGAACATCATATTAAGTGTACTCTTAATCCCCTTCACTATTTCCCCTAACCCCCCACTCACCTCCCCTCTGGTAACCACCAGTTTGTTCACTATACTGAAGAGTCTGTTTCTTGGCTTGCCTTTCTTTTTCCCTTTGCTTGCTTGTTTTGTTTCTTCAGTTCCACATACGAATGAATTTGTATGGCATTTGTCTTTCTCTGACTGACTTATTTCACTTAGCATTATATTCTTTAGCTCTATCCATGTCATTGCCAATAGCAAGATTTCATTCTTTTTTATGACTGAATAATATTCCATTGTTTGTGTGTGTGTGTGTGTGTGTGTGTATGTGTGTGTGTAGCTTCTGTATCCATTCCTCAAGCAATGGACACTTGAATTGTTTCCATATTTTGGCTATTGTAAATAGTACTCCTATAAATAGAGGGGTGCACTGTAGCCCTTGGAATTAGTGTTTTTGTATTCTTTGGGTAAATACCAAGTAGTGAGATTGCTTCATCCTAGGGTAGTTCTATTTTTAACTTTTTGAGGATCCTCAAAAGCCACTTTTCCAGTGTCTGCATCAGTTTTCTTTTTCTTTATTTTAAAAAATATTTTATTTATTTATTCATGAGAGACGCAGAGACACAGGCAGAGGGAGAAGCAGGCTCCATGCAGGAAGCCCAACATGGGACTCGATCCTGGGTCTCCAGGATCACGCCCTGGGCTGAAGGCAGTGCTAAACCGCTGAGCCACCCCAGCTGCCCGGTTTGCTTTTTCCACCAACAGTGCATGAGTATTCCTTTTTCTCCATATTCTCGCCAACACTTGTTTCTTGTGTTGTTGATTTTTAGCCATTTTGACTGGTTGATGTGCTATCTCATTGTAGTTTTGATTTGCATTTCCCTGATGATAAGTGATGATGACCATCTTTTCATGTGTCTGTTGCCCATATGGATGTCTTCTTTGGAGAAATGTCTTTTCTTGTCTTCTGCCCATTTTTAAATTGGATTATTCAGATTTGGGGTGTTGGGTTTTATAAGTTCTTTATATAATCTTGGATACTAACCCTTTACTGGATACGTCATTTGCAAATATCATCTCCCATTCCTCAGGTCGCCTTTTAGTTATGTTGATTGTTTCCTTTGCTGTGCAGAGCTTTTTATTTTAATGTAATCCCAATAGCTTATTTTTGCTTTTGCTTTCCTTGACTTAGGGGATCTATTTAGAAAAAACTTGCTACACCTGATGTCAGAGAAATTAGTGCCTATGCTCTTCACTAAGATTCTTATGGTTTCAGGTCTCACAGATGGGTCTTTAATCTATTTTGTACTTATTTTTGTGTATGATGTAAAAAAGTGATCCAATTTCATTCTTTTGCATGTGGCTGTCCAGTTTTCCCAACACTACTTGTTAAAGAGACTGTCTTTTTCCCATTGGATATTCTTTCCTGCTTTGTCAAAGATAAATTGTCCATATAATTGTGGGTTTATTTCTGGATTTTCTATTCTGTTCTGTTGATCTATGTATCTGTTTTTGTGCCAGTACTATACTATTTTGATTACCACAGCTTTGAAATACATATTGAAGTCTGGAATTGTGATGCCTCCAGCTTTGCTTTTTTTTTTTTTTAAGATTTTATTTATTTATTCACGATACACAGAGAGAGAGAGGCAGAGACACAGGCAGAGAGAGGAGAAGCAGGCTCCCTGCACGGAGCCCGATGTGGGACTCGATCCCAAGACTCTAGGATCATGCCCTGGGCCAAAGGCAGATGCTCAACCACTGAGCCACCCAGGCGTCCCATCTTTGCTTTTTTTTAAAGATTGCTGTGGCTGTTCGGGGTCTTTTGTGGTTCTCTACAAATTTAAGGATTGTTTGTTCTAGTTCTATGACAAATGATGGTGGTATTTTGATAGATATTGCATTAAATGTGTGGATTGCTTTGGGTAGTATAGACATTTTAACAATATTTAACAATTCTCACAATTCTTGAGCATAGAATATCTTTGCATTTCTTTATGTCATCTTCAATTTTTTTTATCAGTGTTTTATAGTTTTTAGAGTACAGGTCTTTTACCTCTTTGGGTTTATACGTAGGCATTATTTTTGGTGCAATTGTAAATAGGATTGTTTTCTTAATTTCTCTTTCTGCTGCTTAATTATTGGCGTATAGAAATGCAACAGATTCCTGTATCTTGATTTGCATCCTGCAACTTTGCTGAATTCATGAATCAGTTTTAGCAGTTTTTTAGTGGAGTCCTATGGGTTTCTTATACATAGTAGTATGTTATTTGCAAATAGTGAAAGTTTTACTTCTTCCCTGCTGATTTAGATGCCTTT